ACCCCCACCCCCGTCCCCCGCCGTGCACGTCACCGCCAAGGAGGCAACACCGCGTCGTTCACGAACAACGATAAGAGAAAAATGGAGCGAAACAGCCAAAGGAAGACGGGGGACAAATAAGATGACCAACATAACGAAAACAAGCAACAGTCTTAACAAATTAACTATGTGTAAAGTCTTGCATTTTCTAGATACAATACGTTCGGTGTCTAGCCACATCCGTCGATTGAAGACAAGTTAAGTCTCCTAAAATTCATTCAGATTTTTTGATAAGCATCATTCTCCCTTATAGCAAAATCATCGTTGACGAACATATACACACATTTTTTACGTGAGACGCAAAACAACAGGCAACAAACAATGGTCTGGCTTTCACGCATAACCAAAGGTTACACCAAAAGATCGAAAAATTTATGAATACTCCGTACGTGCTATTCTGTAAGTGACTATCCACGCATGTCGTAATTTATCAGGAATGCAATTTAACTGCTCTCATATTCGCTTTTAGCCTTAATCATTCACGAGAATTATGACCACTTGCTCTTAAAGAGAGAGAGAGGGAGAACATCTCGCTCTTGAGTAATAAAGAACTAACTCATCCTAAGGCCAAGCAGCTAGATGGCTAGACATCGGGTGTACGCGTGCTTTGATGCAGCGACCGACTATTTAACTCAAAGACGCAGTCGGCTCCGTGCCCGCGAGTATCAAGAAGTTTCCTCCCGAAATAAACAACGGCACCAACGGACTGCGCCCGACGCTCGCTACAGATTCGCTCTATCTGCACCTTCACTTCTCCTACTCTGCGCACAGCAGACAGCGCGTAGCCGCAGTGTCTGCTTGTCCCTAGAGTCTCAGGTGGGTGAAGTTTATTAACACTCTAGCCACGTACGCTCAGGGCTAATGTTTGTGTCGGCAAGCCAATATTGAACTAAATGAAGGTTGAATCACGGAGATATGAGATAACCGACGTACTGAGTACGCATTCACGCGGCGTTGGTCTCGCAGCCAACGACGACCGGCGTCACGCGGGACAGCCAAGACTAACGACATAACAGAACATCGATACCTTATAAATGAGTGTAATAATCGTTCGATCCGAGTTATATTTTTACAGGACCTACTCAGAGTCAAGATGTCATGTGCTAAAGAAACAAAGGAAGGTCCATGGACATTCAGGCAGTTTTCTTCCATTCCCATACACATCTGAATGCGCGCGAGACACGAAGTAAAGAAGAACATTAAATTTAGATTTGTACAACTTGAAGAGAAGTTACAAACGAAAAACGATGATTAATATAAAATCAGTCATTAAAGCATGTTCAAAAAACTGAATTCCGAATACAATAATTTTTAATTATTATTTGAAATAACTAAGAGATAATTTATAGTGAAATTACACGTCAGATCAAAACGATACACACGTTTGCTGGAGGGTCGCCACACAAATAGAGAACTCCAAGGAAGTAAGTGCGACTGAATCTGCACTGGTCAAACATACGCACCAGGTAAAGCTAAATCACGTGATTATCGATAGCCCACAGTAAGAAATATTTAAGAGGATTTTATTGAAATTACTAATTGTAAAAGGTAGAAGGACGTGGAGCAGCAGCAGAATAACTGAAACATTATAATTAAGAGTAAAATAAATATTCAAATAAAATTTAGTAATGGCATTCAAATAATAGCAAATCCTGAGCCACATAAACTTAAATAAATTAATTATCATATTGACTGACATAGACTTAAATATTAAAAAGATTTAATTATGTAAATTGATATTTTACATAATTCCAAATGAATAAAACCCTCACAAATTCAGTTCTCTTTTTCAACCTTAGATTGGAATACCCAAACGTATAGGATCGAGCAATACTTATATTTCTTTGAAAATTGACATGTCAGAAGACTTCATATATTTTAGCCTAGACGATGAAGTCCATTTCTCCTCGGAACATAGTGATTCAGCGAAGGAAGAGCAATGAAATAAACTATATGTATTTATTAATGTTAACAATGAAATTTGTTGACACAAATATTTTTATGCATACATTTTTAAAGAGAAATTGACGGCATAAATAAGCATGAAGTTTAATTTTATGCGTCATATGCGCGCATATTTCTTAGTTCTTCATCAGTGACTATGAATAATAGAGTTCTTTCGTTCTGTGGAAAAAAAAAACGAGGTCCTCTCCGCGACCGACCAGTTAATCTAGAGCTCGCAGCGGCGCTGGAAGTCGCTACTGGATCGAAGCGTGGAGATATGAGAGCATCGAAACACGTGACCGAAGCGTTCCGGTGAATCGCTCTACATTCACCTCCACCGAGTAACAAAAATCCCACTTCCCACGGGGCAAACTTTCCCTTTGACCATGTGAATTTATTTCGCATATAATCTAGCCATGAATTCGCGACTTTATGAAATGGGGCTTCTCGACAAGCATTTCCATTAATAGAAATATTGAGTCAATTAACATAAGAAATTGGAATAAATAGAATGATACTAAGTTCCATCTTCTTGGTGAAATTTCTCGAACGCCTTACCTTCACTTGCTCCTCTGGCAAAATGAGTAGAAAGTAACAAAGATAAAGCAGAACCTACTGAATTAAAACTAACGTAAAATATAATTATCTTCACTTGTTGATTTATTCCATTCAGTTAGGTTATTAAATCAAATCACTAAATTACAGTGCGAAAAGGCAATTAACCATTTATTTATTCTATAAAAATATAATTGACTTATTTGTAAATGTTAGAGCATTAATTCCTATTCAGATTAAACTAAAATACTCTAAAAATCTCCTCAAACATGTCTCTGTTTCTTTTCTGTTGTTTTATTTGTAGAAAAGAACTGATTACTAAGCGAGCACGATCTGCGTTCAAATGAACTTCTACTCATGGCAGATTCAATACTTCTTTGTGCAGCCTAGGTCAACAGCAAATGTTTTCGGAGCGTCCTATTTTATTACATTATATATATTCGAGTGAGAGAAAACATAACGTAGGATGATGAAAAGTTGATTCATTCATGAGTTATGAAAAAGAATAGAGATTCCAGAATCGCATTGAAGCGCTGACACAACGTCGAAACTGTGACACCGCAATCAAATAGAGAGCTAAAACAGTTTATGTAATTAATGTTTAGCAGATCTATCGATTGTTCAGTGTGTCACTTCTACCATATGGCAGGAGCGATGTGAATATTCTTTTATTCCACAATTCGAGAGCAAGCGAATTCAAAAAATGTTGAGACAGCGCTGAGAAAATTGATATAGCCTGTGTGTGTGAGAAGAGAGCATCATCGTGTCTGGTCACAAACTAAGCGTTAAAACCGAAACTCATCTCCTTTAAATGGAACTTTTAAGTAGTTTACACAACTAAAGCATCTCAGAATCCTTGTCAATGTTTCAGCAATTGATATTAGTCTTCGCCAGAAAAATTTACTTCCCGATTCCATGATCCGAAGCGCGAGCTATTACGCACGCAGGTGTTACCTAAACTAATCACACGATTTCAACAACTTGCGTTGATAAGCAAGTAACGAAAGAAATAAGGACATAAGCGCGGCAGAAATGATTTGGCATTTGTACATTGACGAAAACAGGTCGAAAATACTAAATTCATTTTTAATTTCTTAAAAACAACCGCTTTGAGGAGAATGATCAAACATAAAGATACCAGAAGTGCAACATTTTCGGCGGTTAACAATATTTCCGTACAAAACGCTAAAATCGGTGATTACAATGTTTGGAAGGCAATTCGTTTTTATAATATGAATTTTGCGTGTAAAACGAATTGTAATGATTAATATTTTCAATAGAAATCTAACAAAGATAAAGAGCAAAGATAAATAACCTTTAGTAAGTATAGGTCTCAATTCCGTCACCATA